GCTAGAGTACAGTGGCGCAATCACAGCTCACTGCAGCCTCGAACTCCTGGCCTCAGCAATCCTCCTAAATAGCTATTTAGGAGGCCTCGGCCTCCTAAATAGCCGGTACTATAAGTGTGCACCACCATGCTTGGCTAATTTTTTTTATTTTTTGTAGAGATAGGATCTTGCTATGTTGTCCAGATTGGTCTTGAACTCCTGGCCTCAGCAATCCTCCCTCGTTGACCTCCCAAAGTGCTGGGATGGCAGGCATGAGCCACCGCACTGGTCGGTCCACACTGGCTCTGTTGAACGTGAGTGTGAGGTGGGGCCCCACTGGAGGAGCCTCAGGTGGCAGCACAGGTGACATCACAGGCCACTCACAGAGTATGGGATGTGGAAATTCAAACAGATGGCATTTCATTCAGAGATTGTATGGTTTTCTGCTTTATCTAAACTGCAATAAGGAAAGCTGAGTTTGGCTCTCTAAGGATACGTCCCCAAGTCCCTGTGATGGCTTCGTGCTCTGATTCTTATTAACAGGCTCAGCTTCAAAGCTTGCTGCCTACCTGGTTGGTCTCAGATACCACAGTGTCAGCGATGTCCAGTCCTGGCCCCTCTGCTGTCTCCATGAGCCCCCCATGTTGCCCTCTCCACAGTCTTAGACACAATGTCCACCTCTTTATTGTGTGGCAGGGCCCCTGAGTCTACAGTAAGGCTGGCTTTGAAGTTGCTTAAAAAAGAGCCAGTCCCGCCGGGTCTCTTACTTAACAGACTCTGAGCTAGTGTGCAGAGCAGCTTCTCCATCCCAACCGTGAAATGTCCTAGAATCCTTTATGGTGGGACTGTGCCCGCAGCTCTTGTGAGTGGAGAAGCTGTGTCTGCTGCCTCCCGGGATGCTCCAGCCTTTTTTCTTTTTGCAAACTTCTTACGGTCTCATGGCTGGCTAAGGACAGGCAGGAAGATGATTTTCAGACTGACTTGTTTCCTTTGTCCTGATGCAAGCCTCACCTGTGCTGCGGTAGAGGATCCTCTAACAGAGTTCCTTGCTCTGTGCTCTTCCAGTCCTTCCCGTCTTTGCATCTGATCTTCAGCACTGCCCTGGGAAACTCTCTTGCTTTCGTTCCATTCACTTACATAACCTTTGCTCTGCAAGGCTGGGTAGAGAGATCTCCCTACTGGCCCTTTAGCTGTTTTCACAACGGGCTCATCTGTAGTCTCTGCTTCTGTAGTCACCGCACTCATTCTGCCTTCTGGAGAGCCCTTGGGAGCCCCTGCCAACATGCTGGGAGTACCCTCCAAGGACATGCATGAAATACCCGGCACTGAGGACGTGTTGTTAGAGCGGGAAACCGTAGGACCACAGAACAGACAGACAGGGTCACTGAGGCTGAAATCGTCAAAAGGAGTTTTATTGACTAGCTCGAGCTAGGGTCCAAGTCCCAGAGCACCAATGCAGCGGTCTCCACTGGGACAAAGACCCCGCGCACTGTGGGGCGGAGCCCTTTATACCCTAGGTGCATCACCTGTCCACACGCTTGACCTTTACATTGATTGCTTGGCCCTTGTGCCCACGCGCTTGCCCTTTACATTGATTGGTTGGCCCCTTGTGCCCACGTGCTTGCCCTTTACATTGATTGGTTGGCCCCTTGTGCCCACGTGCTTGCCTTTTACATTGATTGGTTGGCCCTTTATGCGCTTGCCCTTTTGTTTCATCCCAAAATTTACTGCGATCAGCCTGCTCAACCTAACTTCCTAAAAACAAGCAACATACATAAGCTAAAAGAAAGCAATTAGCCTGAGGCTTCACAGTGTTGGTGGTTGTGCCATGACCATGCTGCTCCTTTTCCCCCTGAGCCCTTGCTGGCTGTGTCCGACACTGCTGTGTTGATCTGCCCTGGGCCTGCGGACTTGGTTGCTGCCATGCACCCAGCACTGCTGCCAACCCTGGTACTGCCCCTTTGGCAGGCTCCAGAGATTTTGTGACAACAGAAGAAAGTGTGCTTGGGGTGGCTTCCATGGGCGGTCCACAAACAGTACGTGTGGCAGGCACAATGGACTACCTCTCCTACAGCACAATCAGAGGAGGTGGCCACAGACACCTTAGGGACCACATGAAGGTTCTTCTCCATGGAGCTCCTGTACTGAGGGGGAGAAAAACAACAGAGGTAGAGAAGACAGAAAGTGAGACAAGAAGGGTCTGCTCCCCTCTCTTCCCATAAATGAGCAAACCAAGGACTTATAACCTAGACAAAGTTCTGAGGTCATCAATCCAAGTTCTCATTTGATGCAAGAATCCCCTCTGTAGCAGCCCTGCCAAATGATCTAGCTAGTTTTATTTGAACCATCCCCAAACTAGGGAGATCACTATTACAATGCCTCCTGGAGAGCCTCACATACCTTCATTTTCTACACTTGTGCTAGTGTTTCTGCAGAGAAGATGCCTAGAATGGGGACTGCCAAGTCAAGGACTTTCACATTTTACATTTTGATAGCAGGGAATGTTATAGTGATTTATACAAAACTCAGGGCATAGCAGTCATGGGAAGACAGATTATAATTCAAACAAAGGAAGGACTTTCTAATGGTTAAGAATATTCCACAGCAGATCATTCTGCCTTGATTTGAGTAGTTCAAGAAGAGATTGGTCCACAATCTCTTGAATCTTGAAGAGAAAATTACAATATTGGGGATGAGATTAGAACGGCCAACATCCAAGGAATGTCTGAAATTGAGCCTTGTGATACCTTCTAGAGAAGCATTAGGACCTTTGGGAGGGGATTAGACCTGATTATCTATTAATATTTGCAAATGAGACATTCTGTATTTCCTGCTAACCTCTTTTCCCACCACACCTCAGGCCTATTAGCTGCCTCTGAAGGGTAGGTGGTAGGTATCTGTTAATGCTTGCAGTGGGATTGGGCCAAACTGCAGGTCTAGGATAGCATTTGCTCAGCAAGTGCTATTGTTCAGAATCTGGTTTGCAATAGTACTAGGAGAAGAAGCAATTGGTGAATTCTTGACATACAGATCCCTCAGAAACAGCCATTCTCTCTTCCTGAAAGAGTCCCCTCATTACTAACCTGACCTCCACCAAACCTGAGGCTCAGCTCAAATGCCACTGCCTTCATAGTCTTCTCTGAGCCAACAGAGAGAAAAGAACCTTCTCCCTTGGTATCATCTTTCCTTCTCTCTGATAATACTTCTTACCTCATTCATGATTTCACCCTTCAAGTGGACTCAGCATTACCCAGGAAACAAACCATTTCACTGTTAGGTTAACTCTCTCACTCTGGGACTTCCTTTTCAGATGAACTCTATCCCCTCTGCTCTCAGTTAATAATTTTATCTCATGCTCATTTTAAAATGAGCAGTAATTGACCCCAAATTCCCATTTTCCCCCTACACAAACAATTACTTTTATCTATCCATCTTTTCGTTTTCCTACTGGTTAAAATGGAGAAGCATCTTTCCTTCCCATTGCAGTTTCTCTATTGGGGCACTGAATTCCACTCTTCCTTCACCTTCTTAAAGAACATTATCCATACAATCATCCAATCTTTGTATCATCTATTGTCTTCCTACTGAATACACATATTTTCACTTATCTCACTTTGATCTCTTCCACCATTGTCCCATGCTTATCCTCTATGGGATATCTTGGATTTCAATGCTTAATTGACTCCGTCTGCCTCTTCTACCAGATATCTAATTGCTGACATTCCTCAACAGCAATTCTAGATCTGCTGCTCCTTTCTGCATATGTGTTTCCCCTACTGAAACAAACGTCTTCACCTACACCTCTCTTGAGCTTCAGTCTTTTATCTCTACCTGCCATATTCACTTGGATGTGTAAAAATAATTAATTAGGCCATTAGATGGGATAGCTCCAGCATCTTGGGTTCCTATTTAAACACACTAAAACCCAGTTGAATGTAAGAGGTAAAACAAAACTTAAGTTTAACCCATCAGAAACCAACAACCAGGGACTTTTCACTGGGTCATACCCAAATAAGGTACTTTTTTGGGGGGGCTAGAGTGCTGTGGCATCAGCCTAGCTCAAGGCAATCTCAAACTCCTGGGCTAAAGCAATCCTACTGCCTCAGTCTCCCGAGTAGCTGGGACTACGGGCATGCGCCACCATACCCAGATAATTTTTTCTATATATTTTTAGTTGGCCAATTAATTTCTTTCTATTTTTAGTAGAGACAGGGTCTTGCTGTTGCTCAGGCTGGTTTTGAACTCCTGACATTGAGCAATCCGCCAGCCTCAGCCTCCCAGAGTGCTAGGATTACAGGCGTGAGCCACCACCTGGCCTAAAAAACGGTTTTTGTCTCTTTAAAACCCGCTCATCCTTTTTGAGAACTGAAACCTACATCCCTGCCTCAGGCCAGTGGTTGGGAGGGACAGGAAAGTGTCCTTCTTCTTTGTGCCACAGGAGATGGCTCCAGGGAACTGCCCAAGTAGAAGTCAAGAGACTGTCTTAGCCAAATATGGGACTATGTGATTAATCAGAATCTTTAAAAGCTCTGTGCTGTCCGGGGCCAGTGGCTCACGCCTGTAATCCTAGCACTCTGGGAGGCGGAGGTGGGTGGATTGCTCAAGGTCAGGAGTTCAAAACCAGCCTGAGCAAGAGTGAGACCCGTCTCTACTAGAAATAGAAAGAAATTAATTGGCCAACTAATATATATAGAAAAAAATTAGCCAGGAATGGTGGCACATGCCTGTAGTCCCAGCTACTCGGGAGGCTGAGGCAGCAGGATTGCTTGAGCCCAGGAGTTTGAGGTTGCTGTGAGCTAGGCTGCCGCCACAGCACTCATTCTAGCCTGGGCAACAAAGTGAGACTCTGTCTCAAAAAAATAAAAATAAAAATAGGCAGCGGGTTGGGTGGTCTCGTGGCTCTGTATCTTGCTTCAACAGTGTTTGGATGGAACAGACCCGAGGACTCCCTTTCTTCCAGCCTCCGACTGCTTTCTGATCGCCTCTCCACTTGCAATCTCTGGGACCAAGAGAAGATCTCTGCCATCTCCTGCTACTGGAGCCAGCTAACACCTTTTTTGTGGTTAGCGTCTTACTGCCGAGCAACCATGAGCTCCCAAATGCATCAGAATTATTCCACCGAGGTGGAGGCAGCCGTCAACCACCTGGTCAATTTGCATCTGCGGGCCTCCTACACCTACCTCTCTCTGGGCTACTATTTCGATCGCAACGATGTGGCTCTGGAAGGCATGGGCCACTTTTTCCGCGAATTGGCTGATGAGAAGCGAGAGGGTGCCGAGCAGTCTCTTGAAGATGCAAAACCAGCGTGGCGGGCGTGCTCTCTTCCAGGACGTGCAGAAGCCATCTCAAGATGAGTGGGGTACCACCCAAGACAAAATGGAAGCCGCCATGGCCCTGGAGAAGAGCCTGAACCAGGCTCTTCTGGATCTTCATGCTCTGGGTTCTACCCACACAGACCCCCATCTCTGTGACTTCCTGGAGAATCACTTCCTAGATGAGGAAGTGAAACTCATCCAGAAGATGGGTGACCACCTGACCAACCTCTGCAGGCTGGCCGGCCCCCAGGCTGGGCTGGGCGAGTATCTCTTCGAAAGGCTCACTCTCAAGCACAACTAGGAGGCTGCCAAGCCCAGTGACCACTGAAGAGCCCCTCTTAACGTATCAAGGCTTCTGCCTGAGCTTCTCCCTCCAGCTACTAGACAGCTTTTTAACCACCCTGGAGTCCAATTCCAAGCCTTGGACCAAATGGAAATAAAGCTTTTTGCAGCAAAAAATAAACAAACAAACAAACAAATAAATAAATAAATAAATGAGGTAGGACACTGGTACTTTGAGATGGGAGTGTGCCAACCTCTTCATTTCCTGGCAAATTAATAAACTCCTCTTTCCTTCTCCTCAAACCGCTTACTTGTCCAGCCCTGGGGACAAGTGCCAGAACTTTTGGTTAACATTCCCTGCTACCATTCCCTAAGCTGTTGAAATTAGTCCCTTAATCAATTAGCTTGTCTTGGGTTCTTTTACCATAGGCCTCATACAATCTATTCTTCATATTCTACAGAAATTGATCTTTCAAAAACTATAAAGGAGATTACTATCTAGCATAAGATTCTTCACCTGTCGATTCATTTCGAATAAAATCCAAATGCATCATTGTGTACTACGGGGTCATCTATGTTCTGGAATTTGCCTCTTAGATTTCTACTTTTGTCTCTGAAGGAAATTAAAAATATTTTAGCCCAAAATATGGCTTTTTGACATAATAGACTAAATGAAGAAGCCTCAAGGTTTCTCTGACCTTCCCCCTCCCAGCACACCAGAAAAATTTAAACTTTATCTTCCTAAGGTACAAACCCACCTAAGAAAACAATTGTTCTATCCTTCCCCTCTCTGTAAGAACAGGAATATGCCCACACCTGAACAGACTCTTTAAGGAGATAATATCCCATCTCTCAGACTCATTCAAATTCTAAAGGGAACTATTTACCATTTAATCTTTGTTTCTGGTCTATTCATCCTCCCTAGAAATCCTTTATTGCCTCAGAACAGAATTCTTTCCCCACCCCCCATAGCCCATTTTACCAGAAAGGTATATAAACTTCTAAACTTCTAAACAACAGTTGAATCTTCTTTTGGAGGGTTCCTCTGTATACACTGTAAATAAATTTGTATCTCCTTCCTTCTATTAATCAATCTGCCTCAGGATTTTTCAGTGAACCTTTCTGGGGCCAGAGGCCTACACCTCTTTCCTGCATCCTATGGATGCTGCAGCTGTTTTTCCTGCTTTAATGTTATGCTGCAAGACATTTCCTTTGCCAGGATGGGTCTTTGCTTTGCTGGCTCTTCAAGGTTTCAACTTAAAATCATGCCTTCTGACTCACACCTGTAATCCTAGCACTCTGGGAGACTAAGACAAGAGAAATGCTTGAGGGCAGGGGTTTGAGACCAGCCTAACCAAGAGATCCCGCCTCTACCAAAAATAGAAAAATTAGCCACCAACTGGGCGTAGTGGTGCCTGTCTGTAGTCCCAACTACTCGGGAGGCCGAGACAGGAGGATCACTTGAGCCCAGGAGTTTGATGTTGCAGTGAGCTATGATGACGCCACTGCACTCTAGCTGGGGTGACAGGTGAGAGTGAGACTCTGTCTCAAAAAACAAAAAAACCTCATGTCGTCTTCCTTCACCACCCATCCCCACTTGGTCCCTCCCTATCACAGCTCCTTATCTGCTCCCCTTGCCACAGAAATCACAACTATCAGTGAATTCCACAACAGAAAGAACCTTGCATATTGGCTTGGCTCACAATTGTTAAATGAAAGAGTATTGTATTTGGCTATCTGCGACCCTTATTATTTTAACAGTTTGCGAGCAACTTGAGGGCAGAGCCCTCAATCTATGTTTGTCAGCCTCCAGGGGGGTCAGCAGTAGTCCAGTTTAGCATTTTCTAATCTGCTTTTATGAGTGAAAAAAGGAAATCCGGTACAGGAATAAAGGTGGGAACAGGAAAGCAAGAGACGGTGTAGCTAAACAGAGTGGTTTGAGGAAAAGCCAGCCTGGAAGGAAATACGAGAAGCCAACAGCAGAAAGCCATTCTAAGCTAGGAACTACAAGGCCGCACCTCCTCACGTGACATCAGAGTAGTAGTCAAGAAGCTGACCATGATGTCTCTCGCGAGAGGAAAGACTGACCACACGCAAGCGTACGTCAGCTGGTCCCCTTCCTTCCCTGAGCCCCACTCACTCCCTGTCCTCCCTCCCACCTTGAACTAGCCGCCCGCGCGCGTGACGTCACGGCGCCGTGCGTGGCCGCGGCGGCGGCGGCGCAGGGGGCGGGCCCGCGGCGCGGCGCCGGAGGAGGAAGTGGCTTGGTTGTTGCTCCCTGTGCGCCTACCGCTGCCTCTCCGGGAGCGGAGAGGGGCCGCCGTCTCCGCGGCTGCGTCGCGCCTCCCCGCCGCTCCCCTCCATGTGCCCCGGCGCCGCCGCTCCCCTTCCTCAGGCCGCCGCTCATCCCGGGGTCTATGGAAGTAATGGAAGGACCTCTGAACCTGGTGAGTGGCCCACAGAGGATAGCGTCTCTCCTGGGTACCTTTGCTTCAGGAGTCTGGTCCGGTCCCTGGCGTGTCGCCTGACCCTTGAGGCCGGGAGGCGGGCTCGGTAGGGGTTTTCGCAGCGGCTGGGGGCGCAAGCAGGCCCTGTCCCCACAGCGGCTCCGGGCACGCCGCCCCACACTTTCTCCGTCTCGGGGATCCCCGGGAAGCTCCTACCACCTCCGGGCGTTCCCTGCCGCAGGGCCCCGGGCGAGGGGATGCCACCAGATGGGACTGCCACCTCCTCTCCGGCCGGGGTGAAAACCTCCTAGCGCCACGTAGCCACCTCCCTGCAGCCTGGAGAGACTGAAGCCGGCCAGGGCAGAATTGGTGTATAATACGGGTTTTAACTTCTAACGTAGAGGTTCTGAGTCTCTCACTTTGGACAGAGAGTAATATTCCTCCTCAGCCCCCTTTTTCTCTTCACTGATTTCTCACGTACATACTGATGCGTAAACCGAGAGTCTCTCTCTCTCCCCGAGTAAGTTAGAAACAGCTGGTAAAAAGAGCTGTCTCTCTTTAGCTCAGTTTCATCAATTTAGGCATCATGAAAGTGCAATAGATGTTTGCTGCTTCCAGAAAAAGTGCTGGTAGCCTATTTCCTTATGTTTTATAGGTGTTTCAGGTTTGCAATTAAAAAAACAAGAAGTCAAAGGGAAAAAGAAAAAAAAAAAGCTACCAAGAAGAAACACGAGTTCTTTCCGGACTGGCCACCACATCTTTTAGTTTCCCGGAAAGGGTACCAATTTTGGATACAAAAGTCAGATTACTTAAGGTTGCATACAGGAAGAAGTTTTAAGTCAGATTTGCAATTCTTTGCCATAGTGGGATGGGAAAAAGGATTATGGAGGGTTAGGTTCTTTCTTTGGAACTCTGAAGTCCTGGAAGAGCCTTGGACTGGTTCAAACCTCTCTCTAGAAAAGCAGTAGTGCCTGGTGGTTTAAGAGTATAATAAATTCTGGAGCCAGACTGCTTGAATTTGAATTCTGGCATTGTTGCTTAATAGCTGTGTAACCTTGGGGAAACAACTTGACCTCACTGTTTCATGTTTCAGGTTTGTTGTAAGGATTAAAGGAGTGTAAAGCACTTAGAACTGTACCCAGTACATCTTACAGTGTAAGAGTTAGCTGTTATAACTAGACTATAAGTCTTTCATTTAAAATCTGTAGAATAAAAGTTTGAATTTGTTGAGCTTTAAAAACCTGAGATTCTAGGAACCTAAAGCTGTGGTTCCAAATCACTGGTAATAGGTTACCTACTTTGAGGAGCCTCCCCACTCCAATTTTATTAAGTTGAGTCTTGCCTCCATTGGTAAGAGTTGTTTACACTTAAGAAGAATTAGACTACATTTGTGAGTTTTAAAAACCAGGGAAATATCTTACACCTTTCTTGTTTTTAAGAAACAATAAAACATAATGGATGGCTCAATACTGAAACTTAATAGGAATATTATTAAAAATAACCAGCCTCTTCCAGAGTGCTTCAAAGTTCAAGTGTCCTTGCAAAATGACCATTGGTTCAGTTCCAGTTAGCTTCACTTTATTTGGCTTCAGGCTGCAGCATAACCCCTGCCAACTGCCCCACAGGTGTGGGGCTTATGAGAAGACCGGAATTAGGCTACAGTTGTAGATGGAGCAGCAGAATCACCAGTTTAGGAAAAATTAGTTAAATGGTGACAGTAGTATTTGAATTCTCCTTTTATAGGAGAATTTTGAAAAAGTTCTCTTAAGCAGGCTAACATAATTCCATAATCCAGCCACAAAATTTACATGGACAAGTATCAGAAATTTGGCATCTTGATTTCTTAAAGCACTTGAGATTTAAAAGATCTGATTTCCAGCCTAGTTGATTATTGACAGATAACAATAGAACAGAGATTGACATTTACGTGAATTATTTAACTGTTGCTAAGTACCAATGACAGGCCTCTATCACACAGTTTTAGAAGACTGGGGTTTTTTGAAAGCTGTCATTTTTTTATGTCAAAGAACCCTTAACTTGGTATCTGGTTGACTCCACATGAGAAATAGTTCTCAGTGCTGTGATTTAATGAGTGCCTTTAAAAATCCCACAAGCTTGTATATACAAGCTTCTAATCTCAGTGTCATCCAAATTTATTGTATGAGGACTTATTATAGGACATGGATTTATAATCATATGTCCTGAATATCCTTGGAATTTTGTAAGAAGTTTCCAGTTTTACCGATGTATTCAGCTTAGACTGAGAGAAATTAAGTAATTAACTTAGGTCAGTGACTCACATATATTATGGATCACAACTTATTTTGATATCATGACCTCTTTCTACTAATGCTTCCATATTAATGTACTACTTATTTTCATTTCAGTATTGCCCTGTCTATATTGAACCATAGATGTGTGTTGGCATTTAGTGCCTCTGCCTTAGTATTGATTCTTTAATGTTGGATTTGCAGTAGGTGCCTGTAGGCTTATTTCCTCTCAGTGAATTTTTCAGATCTGGAAGAGACTAATTTGAAGTATTTATTTTAATATGTAGTACAGATGATGTAGAAGTTCTAGTTCTCTGGTTTTTGGAGTTGATGAAAAGAAAAATAAATTCTTCATTGAAGAAGAAAAAAGCTTAGTCTTTTGTACTCTAAGTTTGTTT